AACAGGTTTTTCTGTGACAGAATGTCTCTGAGCATATAAAACTTATACATTAGAAGCCTCAGTCTTTTCATGACATTTGCAACGTGGTCGTCCCATCTGATGTCTTGGTCGATAATAACTCCCAAATACTTAACCGATGATGTTTTATCTATTGACGAACAGCTACATGTAGTTTTATCGTTGCATAGTGGCTTGTGTATTTTTAGGGTATCGATCTGAGGATTATCTCGAGTACTTAGTGAGAATGTCATGAATTTGGTCTTACTAATGTTCAAGCTCAGCAGGTTATTATTCAGCCAAATGAGTATTTTTCCAAGTTCGTTTTCAGCAGTTTCATAGACGGCATTCCAGGTTTCGCCTCTGAAAATCAACGCTGTGTCATCTGCATAACAAATAATTTGCCCACGAAAACCACTGATTTGTGATACACTGTTGATATATATCAAGAACAGAATTGGACCCAAAATTGTACCCTGAGGTACACCAACAGATATATTTGCTGATCTGCTGAGTATAGGATTTGATTTTCAAAACAACACAAAAAATTTGAAAACATTGATGAAATCTTTATTGGAATCCATAGAACGATCAATATCATACAAACAAATTTTGGAAAAATGACGATATATCATGATGGGATCATTATATATAATTCAATTCCAGAAAAAATAAAGAAGTATTATTCCATCACAAAATTCGAATATCAATTGAAAAAAAATCTAATTAGTGGAATTCCATAGTTTGCATTTTATTTCTATTACACGTTTTCAACATATACTTTCTGTAACCCATTTCATTATTTGACTGCATTTCATTGATATTTTTTGTGTAGATATAATATTTTTTCATTGTAAAGTATGTTGTTTCTGATATTTTCTTTTACCTTGTAGTTATTGTCCCTAATTATAAGCATGCATTGTTTCTTGGGACAATAAACCGAATTGAATTGGATTATTTGAAGACGATTTCATGCAAATGTTGTCCGTGGCTCCGCTTTAGATGGCCCATGCGCAAGGTCCAATTTTGGCACACTCTCTCTAACATATCGACCGGTATTTCACGTATAAATGCTTCAATATTGGCTTCCAAAGCGTCAGTCGTCGCTGGTTCATCCCTGTAGACATGAGCCTTAACATGACCCTACAAGAAATAATCCAATGGCGTTAAATCACACGATCTAGGCGGCCAACGTGAGATAAACTATTCACCGAAGGCGGCTCTTAATTGGGCCATTGTTTCGCGTGCCGTGTGGCACCATCTTGTTGAAACCAGATGTCAGGCATGTCCAATTCTTCCAGTTTGTCGATGATGCCATCGACCCATAATCCACACCAAACAGTGACTTTTTCGGGCTGCATCGGTAGCTCTTGCAATGCTTGTGGCTGGTCTTCACTCCAGATGCGGCAATTTTGCTTATTAACGTATCCATTCAACCAGAAATGAGCCTCGTCGCTGATCACAATTTCTCGATAAAAATGTGGATCTTCCTCCAGCGCCAGCGCCCATTCGCCAGATGTTAGACGTTGTGGGAGGTCGTGTGGCTTCAATTCTTGCACCAGGTATATCTTATAATGTTTTACACACGAATCCTTTCGCAAAATTTCCCAAGTAGTGGAGTATCTGAGGCATAATTGCTGCGAACGGCGACGAATCGACATTTTACGGTCATCACGAACACTGGCGGATACAGCCGCGATATTTTCTTCGGTCCTCACTCCACGTATGCGTGTTGGTGGTTTAATGTCAAATAATGTAAACTGGGTTAGAAATTCAGTTACAAGCTACCGAATAGCTCCCTCAGTAGGCCGACGAAACTGCCCATAAATTGGAAGAAGTGCACGATGCACTCTCTTCACCGAGCACGAATTTTGATAATAGAATTCGATAATTTGCAAGCGCTGTTCATTCGTAAGTCGATTCATGGTTAAATTATAGACGAAACTGCACAAGTTTGACAATGAGACAAGACACGATTCATGCGTGATCTGTTAAAAACAGTGTTGCCAAAAACCGATCTTGGAAAAACATCGCTCCATCTAAACACGAGTCACGTAACGAACCTGACGTTGCCTCTCAATATTTATCGATGTATATTTAGAAACTATAGACGAACACCCCGGTACTTCATCATAAATTCACTTCCACTCTCGAGCTGCCGAACTCATCGAAGAAAAATGGTGCTGTCAATCCTCTCACACGTGTTCCGTTCTGAGGTAAGAAAAGAAATCCGCCGTACATTTTTAATGTTGCAATATCTACTACGCTCTGAGTGATAAGTTCCACGGGGGCAAGCAAATAAAGAAAAACATATGAGAAATTCGCGTCTTGCGGTGAGAAAACCGAGGAAAAAGAAAGTTGATTCGAGCGAAACATGCCGGATGTTTCATATTTTATCGCTATATAGTCGAGCTGCGATTTGGAGGTATGATTGTTTGAGCAGTATTTCAGAGGTACGGGATTTTGGTGTTGTGAATATTCACGAGTACGGTTTCGAATCCATTTCCTCCAGAAATGGAAATATCTTGGGAATGTTGTTCATTATTTGTTCAGAAAAAAATTTCGAAAATGGTGGGGTTCAAATATTTTTACTTTTTCACGAAAGATATGAAAGATCTGGGAAAAACAGGTTATTGGGTTGTTTCAAAAGTTTTGTCCGTTTTCATGAGCTTACTTTGAACTGTAATACTTGTTGAATTTAATAGAAATGAGCACCATTCGAATCAGTGTAGTAGAAATAAATGCTGGTGAAGTAGCTGCCGCAATTTTCTGTGACCTTTCGAAGGTTTTTGATTGTGTTGATCATGAATTATTACTCAAAAAACTTCACCGATATGGCTGCAGAGGGGTGACGTACAATTTGTTTGAATCGTACCTGTCAGGTCGAAGTCAAATGGTAAGAACATCGGAACTCTCAGAAAGCAGGGCAATCACATCTGGTGTGCCACAAGGTTCTGTGTTGGGTCCAGTTCTGTTTTTATTGTATATTAATGATTTGACTACGATAGATATATCCGGCAGCTTTACTCTATTCACGGATGATACAACAATATTGTGATAGGAAAAAACCCAGAAGAGCTACATAAAAAGATATCATCTGATTTAGAAATGGTGAAAAATTGGTATGATGCTAATTTATTATCCTTGAATATCTCCAAAACAACTATTCAATCACTTACCAGTAGATATAAGGTCTCAAAATCTGACCAAAGTACAATTCAAGAAAGCAGTTAGAAATTTGCTAGCTGATATACCCTATCATAGCTTGCAAGAGTATTTTAATTAATCATTTCAAAAGTGTATTCCATTTTATATTTATTTTTATTGTATTTGTACCTGTTTTATTCAAACCTTTATTGATTGCCAGTTTTTATCTATACATCATTAGTTATGCTTATATTTATACCTACAAAGCTCTGTCGATGGAATACAAAATCATCTGACAATAAAGGATATTTTGATTTGATTTGATTTGAATTTTGCCAAGGTAACACAAGTCAATTAACTGTGTCAGCATGAAAATTGTTTACTTGGGATCCGATGAAGTCCAGGAACGCATTTTTGCCTGCCAACTGCAACAGCTGCAAACTTAGGATACATGAAAGCGAAGCACTTCACAATTAGGAAAATTGGGATAAACTGCTTGCTAATTTCAACGGTCTAGATCTAGATCCTTTCGGTCGGTAGCTGAAGCTATTAATCAGAACTTTACAAAAACCACAATTCTACCACCAATACAAGTGGATGGATCAATTGCAACAATAGCCATAGAAAAAGCAAATTTACTAGCTGAACAATTTGCGACCCACCTGGTGATAGACTTGTGATCACCTAGACCAAGGAGAAACATCAAGTCCACTGTCCACTCAGGAGGAGGCAGATCAGCCCCATGCATAGGGCTCTTCCTCTGTTGCTGCAGGACTGAAGAGATTCCATTGGATTTCATGTGGGTCATTTGCTAAACAGCATGTAACTTGGTGATAGAGTTGTGATCACCTCATTCAGTGGAGAAAATCAAGTTATTTATCCACTCGGGAAGTTTACTAGTCAGCTCAGGTTTTCAGTTAAGGTCTCCGATAGTGCTGAGGAAGATCTTATGCACCCATCCTTCTTTTGCCGAAAAAGCAGAGGGATTTCTCTGGATTTCATGTGAGTGTTTTGCTGAACAGCATCCAACTTGGTGATGGAGTTATGATCACATAGAAAAGTGAAAAAAATCAAGTTTACTGTCCACTCAGGGAGCTACCTGGTCAGGTTAGGTTTTTTGTCAATCAAGATCTCAGATCTTGAAAAAGACCACCTGAGGTTCCAACTCAGTAATGGAATTGTGATAAATTTGTTTAGTGAAGAATTAAAAGTTCATTGTCGACTCAGGAAGCTACCTGAAATGATAACCTCCCAGTTCTTGTCTTTCCACGATCTGGGTTCATGCAAGTAGGTACTATTTTGTTGTGTGGACACTCCAAATTCGAAAATCCATTGCTTTTCATTGTCGAGCAGTATATATAGTGATGAAATGGATGACTTGGGATGCAAACCCCCATGAGAACTAACCATTTTTGACAATGATCATTTCATTATTGAGTTTCCAAACTGAGTTGTAATGTCATTTCGAAATTTATAATTTTGAATTTCCTTATATATGAGTTCGTGCGGAAAACAACCTGTATACGACTGTACTACAATGCGATTCAGTCTCTCAAATGGTTGTTGCCCTCGACGAGAAATTCTTTTTGCTCCCGAGCGTTTGTTATTCTTCTGGAAATCTGAACGGACTCGACTTTTTTCAAACTTCTATTCGAGTTACAGATTATTAACTGTTCTTTCAACAGCTGCGTAGTGAATGGCGTTTTATTTACTTTGTATCTAATTGCGAGCATCTTCGAAAAGTTTGTCCATATGTAAGTTCAAGTCTTCCAATAAATTTCGAGCTTGTCTGCCCAAAGTAATTACCAAAGTTCCAACATAGTTTGTTTTGGTTGCTGAAAGTAAACAAATAATACTCCGAGAAAACGTCTCGCTGTTCGATCTTGCTGGATTTCCAGAAATGCTAGGAGCAAACAATGGAACAGCTGCAGATTATGGGATGTGTAACTTTTGGATCTGAAGAATTTTGTTTCGATATGCGGTGAATACAATTTTATTTTAAATAAATCAAGGCGGAACAAAAAAACTGTTTCCAGTTGAAAATTTCCAAAAACAAAGTTTGACAAAGGTAACTGAAATTTTAAGAACAAGAAGTTGGATTCTAAGGATTTAATTGAAAACTAGAGTTTGGAATTTTTTATTCTCTATAGGAATAATTCATCATTCATCATTTTCATGAATTATTAGATTGAAACTGATTACCACATTAAGAAATGACTGTATTTTTTGTGAAAATAAAGCTTTTCGACTTTTACTTCCCATATTTTCACAAAAACTTCCAGAGGGAGAGAGAAAGCAATTAAGTTCAAAATGAATTCCCTGCAAAGATGTGAAGATCATGCATGAAAGTTACTTCCAGATACAAACTGGAAGAAAAATCCCTCCCAAAATAACTACTTCACCATGAACATTGAATTACACAAAAGGGGGGGTCTTTTTTCAGTTCGTATCTAACTTCCATATATGGTCTACACACCTGTGTGATTTTCCAATCACACAGGTGTGTATCACAATCCAATTATATTCTACTACAATGAAGTTGAGTAAGATTGGAACGGCAAGCATATTTGTTGCAGCAACTTTGTCCTTCCTCGACAGTTCAGATGACCAGATCTCGGAATTTGTGCTGATACTTGCTACTGAAAGAGTTCTTCACTGCTGTTACCTCCTGTGAGTGGCGTTGTTCCACCCCGAGGTAAGTATACGTCTCCCCGGCATCCATATGATGTATGATGCTTCCATCTACGAGCTACACATCGTCTCCGTAGTCCCCGCATCGTCCTCTTTTGAGATGGACCACTGCACATTTGTCTATCCCAAATTTCATACAGATAGCATGCCTGTACTCTCCCACCACCCTCATGGATTGATGGGGATCCTTTTCTCCAGAGTCATGAAGTTTAAGAGCATCCATTTAGAATAAATGAGTGACCTTGTGCCCCAGGTTTTGTGGGTGCCATAGTTATACCTTCCAGGCCGTAGAGAGTTAAAGCATGTTATCGGTCTGCTATTCTAAGGAATCGACAAATCTCTGCTTTTGAGGATGAGAACGGTCCCCACCTCGACACACCAATCTGGAATCGGCTGCTCTCCGTCCAGCCATGAGTTGAAAACTCTGGCCAGATGGCGAAAGTTTTTGTCATCAATAAGTGTTTAGCACATCTGGGCTTGCAGCAGCAAAGTTCGTGAAACCTCCAAGGGCTCTTCGAACGTCATCCAGGGTTATCAGGTTGCGCAGTTCATTGAGTTCAGGCTGTCGAAACTTTCTGCTGAAAGTGGAGTGTTTAAGTTGAGTGGCTGGGGCTGTTCAAAGATATCCTTCGAGGAGACTCTTGGAATAAGATTTTTCGCGATATTTCTTGCTCGCCTCACCAGTGACCCTCAGCAGCACCCCTTGACTCAAAGTGTGATGGATACGTCGTAGTTTGGCGATTATTCGCCACAATGCGGACACAAACAGCCTGTTGGTCGCCCTGTTGTCCATCACACATTGGTTACTAGATGCGTGTTGTCCCGCCAACGTAATCTCAGCCTACCGTTCTGAACTGCAAGGCTGGGATTTCGACTTTCCGATCCGTAAAGCGATTGGACGACGCTGTACACGGCGGTGTTGATTTGGAAGAAGCCTCTTCTGTTAGAACATTATGAACCCCGCATCCAAACAAGTCAGTTCTTGTGGCTTCAGGAGCATAATTTTGTGGAACCTCCTAGGTGTTCTGATTATCTGTATTGGTGATATGACGCGAGTCTCCTCCTCAGCCGTGCCAACGGGTGGTAGAACTGCCACTTCCAATACTTCGTTTGCAGGCTGGGAAGGAGCTATATAGCCCTGCCGCCGAAGATTGGACAGGAAATCCGCAAGATTTTGGGCGTAAAAGGCAGCATGCTACGGATGCGTTTCACACCACAGAGCTTGTATTCTCGCTATGTACCCCCTTCGCGCGGGCTCACTACTTACTGAACAATGCATAATGCTATCTCTTAGCTCATGCCTCCACTCAAAGCGTCCGTTGTCATTGCCAGGGTTGTCATCAGTAGGCAAATCATCGTTATGGATTTCACCACTTTGCCTCTGAACCCTTCGAGAGGGTTGAATGTGAGGTCCCTTCCTTGATTATCAGGATCCAAGTTTTGGGTCTACCTGATGGTTAGCCTTGTAGTCCCACGGCCGGCACTTGATTGAGAATAGTGTTCTTCCTCTTGGTTGCGCGTGAGCTAACGGTCTGGTGATTGTGGATAGTCAGAGTTCTAGCCAAAGAATCAGACGTTTTTTGCTTGATGGACTCTTTAGCAGCTTTAACTAAAATATTGCAATCAAGTTCTCTAGGTGAAACATGACAGTATTCATTTTGAACTATTCAATATTAGTCAATTCCTGGAAAAATAACAGCAATATTTGCCTGGGGGTAGACATTACAGCACAGTGACCCGAACTATGGAGAAAATATGGGTAATTGGCATTGAGATTCCAATAATTCAAACTGAAGATACTATTTATGAAGAGGACGAATAGGATAGGCCCTGATACACTGCCCTGCGGAACACACGTCGAAATTGATAGGTATTCTACAATAATATTCTTGAAAATCGTTTTGGAATCTTTCTCAAAATGTGGATATGACTTTTTCATACCTGCATAATAATGCGGTTCACGTTCATGGAAATGGTGGTGCCTCATATTGACGTCTTCATCCCCTGGTTGGTGGAGCTGTGGTATGAGGTTGAGCCAAACTGCCATTTTATGACCACGGTAATGACTCTTCATTTTAGGCTTTGAAGCTGAAATGAAAAACAAATCCAGCTACTATACTACCATATTGAAGATAATAATAATAATTTATTATTTCCACTTATTAGATACTACATATCATACTATTTTGATCTACATATAATTGTGAAACAGTCAACCTTCAAAAAGTTTCTTGAACAATTGGGGTAACAAAATTTCAATTTATTGTTATATGGAAAAATTGAATAACATTATTCAGAACAATTATCGATGATACGATGATGCTTGCAAATGTCAATACTTTATCAACTAATTAATTTCCGAAATACAATAGCCAACACCAAATATTACAAAATACAACATGTGGTAACGAACATAATAAAGTGACCTTTTCAAATGAAAATTCAGTAGTGAAGTATTTTTTCTTGGAACAAAACAGACAATCCAACAAAGTGTACAAATTGAACTGTGAAAGCTGTCCCAAATGCTACGTTGGGCATACCGAACGCTATCTCGAAACGTGAGTTGTAGAGCTTATGAAATAATCTAAGAAACTGAATATCAAAAATCCCACAGCCTTTGTTGAACATAAAAAAGATCATGGATATACTTTTGACTTTGAACATCCGACTATTCTAGATGTTGAACCATATTCATCTGAAAGACTTTCGAGCAAAATTATACATATCCTCAAACACGATAGTATTAACACTAGGAAGTAAGTCGATGGCCTTGATACCGCATATATCAATTCGATCTAATATGTCTTAATATTCAAAAATAGTAATATTGTCAACACAATGAAACTTCTTTTCGGTGAATAATTGATCCAGGAATTCTCGATTTCTTGTGACACCGAAACACTGTAACAGAGCCCTGAAGAGGAATTCAGTTGAATACGAAACGTTGTCAAGAACACGATTGTTTTTGAAGAAAAATTGATGATGTTACCCAACTAATCCTTTTCGAAATCAATGTCTTATACTGTTGAAAAACTATGAACCAGGTGGAGAATTAGCCATGTGAATATTCTATACATTGTTACAATTCAAATGAATCTTCAGACTAACACTCTATATCGATTTATTGGATCTCTTCGTACCGCACTATCAACTAGACTCCTTTAATATGCGTGTGGGTAGTATTTATATATGTTGATGGAATCTTTTTGAAGCCGATAGGGAAGTCACTGAAAGTCTATCGAAGCGACGCGGCATCTAGAACAATCGCGAAGCGCAAGTCGTGTTGATTGCGTTCTTGGCACAATCACAATCACAATCGATTTACAACGACCAGTGGCAGCCGGCGTCATTTTTTTTTCAGGGAATGACTAACAACAATATTTTACCAGTTTATGTTGATTGATCACTGATAATTTTGCATCTAATATTTTTTGAGATATTTTTATGAGATATGATTGTTGCAGTTCCTGTAAAATCTATATGTTTCTACCATGTACCAAGTTGATCAATCAGTGTCCCTGAAAATTCTGTAGAGTTTCTTTCCAGAACTCATTAAGGAAATCAAATTGAAGCTGTCTAAATATCGAGATAAATATGTAAATTCAATACAGACTCTTCCAGTCAGATTGACAAACAGTCTGTGACCCCAATTAATTATTTTCTGCAATAATATATTGAATAGTCATAATTAATAATGTAATTAGAAAAATCGTCAGGCTGGAATGAAATAAAAGTATACCGAGAATTTTAACATGTGGTGTTTCTGTTGTTACTATTTGACAACTATATAATTCTGTTTTGGTCAAGATATGAAAGACACAATAATCTTGTTTACATTACCTCCTCGGATACCAATGTTGAAGAGTACATCTGAAATTATCATGCTGTTTAAAGTATCGAAAGATCTACTCAAGTCGAATAACAGACTCCTCCTCAACTGTATCACGAATTTCTTGGTTGCCATTGCCAACAAAATTATTGGTTTTTTGACAAATAAGGGAGTTAAGAACATTTTCAATTGATGATTTCGATATATCTTGCCCTCCTCAGGATGAAACAAATTTTGATAATACACAAGTTTCAGAAAGTTCTGCCTCTGGCATGGCTGGCTCTACGGAAAACGTCCGTTTTTTTTCGGTCAAAACCAGAAGGACTTTCTGAGAGTCTTCAGAGTTGGAGTCTAGGGAAACCGATCTAGCTGACTTTCACCGCTTTATTTTTGTTCACATCCTACTCCTTTGATTAATTGTGTATTCTTGAGATTTCCCGACATTTCCGTTGCAGGGCGATTAACGAGAAAAGTAATTAACTACAACAAACGACTGGGGATTGTCACCGACTTTCCAGGTTCCTACATTAATTACTTTCCGTAAATTAGTTTTGAATCTGGTAGTTAGTATTGATCATTGCCAGGTGAAAAAGTAGAAGAATTTAGTATGGTTGGATTAGCCAAAAAAGGAAAATATTTCCATTTTATGTATCATTAGTAGCCTTCTATTGTCACAATGATGGAAAAATTATGAAATATTTATTGTAAGGGATGCTATTACAATTTAATACAATAATGATTAATGAACATCAAATTTTTCTGCGAATCTCTAGGAGATGGTGTGATCAAAATAAGAAATGGGATCAACTGATACCCATTCGAAAACGGTTTCTCATCCCCTATCCATCGCTAGTTTGCTTTTGAGACTTTGTTCACTCATTTAGCCGATATGGAGCTTTGAAAAACGGATGATACGTTTTCGAAACGATTTCTAGTCAGTCATTCAGTGAGTTAGTTAGGAAGTCAGTCAGTCAGTGAGTCACTATGTCAGTCAATCTGTCTGTCAGTGAGTGAGTCAGTCAGTTAGTTAGTCAAACAGTCGGTCAGTCAGTCATTCGACTAGTCAGTCAGTCATTCAGTGAGTCAGTCAGGGAGTCAGTTAGTCAGTCAGTGAGTCAGTCAGTCGGTCTGTCAGTGTGTGAGTGAAGTGAATTGGTGAGTCAATCAGTCAGTGAGTGAGGCAGTCAGTCAATAGGTGAGGCAGTCAGTCAATAGGTGAGTCAGTCATTGAGTGAGTGAGTCAGTCAGTGGGTCAGTCAGTGAGGGAGGAGGGTCAGTGCGTCAGCGAGTCAGTCAGGAAGTCGGTTAGTGAGTCAGTCAGTCGGTCAGTCAGTGTGTGGGTGGAGTGACTAGGCGAGTTGGTGAGTCAATCGGTCAGTGATTGAGTCAGTCAATAGGTGAGTCAGTCAGTGAGTGGGTCACTCATTGAGCAGCGAGTCAGTCATTGAGTGAGTCAGTCAGTGGATCAGTAAGTGAGTCAGTCAAACAGTGAATCATTCAGGCAGTCAGTCAGTGAGCCAGTCAGTAAGTCAGTCAGTCGGTCAGTCAGTGGGTCAGTCAGTGGGTCTGTCAGTGAGGGAGGAGGGTCATGCGTCAGCGAGTCAGTCAGGAAGTCGGTGAGTGAGTCAGTCAGTGAATCAGTCAGTCGGTCAGTCAGTCTGTGGGTGGAGTGACTAGGCGAGTTGGTGAGTCAATCGGTCAGTGATTGAGTCAGCCAATAGGTGAGTCAGTCAGTGAGTGGGTCACTCATTGGGCAGCGAGTCAGTCATTGAGCGAGTCAGTCAGTGGATCAGTAAGTGAGTCAGTCAAACAGTGAATTATTCAGGCAGTCAGTCAATAGGTCAGTCATTGAGCCAGTCAGTAAGTCAGTCAGTCAGTCAGTCAGTCAGTTGGTCAGTCAGTGAGGAAGGTGGGTCAGCGAGTCAGTCATCAGATGAGTCAATCAGTAAGTCAATCAGTCAGTCAATGACTGAGTCGGTCATTATGTGAATCAATCAATGAGTAACTTAGTCAGTGGGTTAGTCGATGAGCGAGTGAGTCAGTCAGTGATCCAATGAGTCAGTGAGTCAATGATCAGGTGACTCAGTGATTCAGTCGAATTGTGTTCAGTCGGTCGATCAGTGAGTGAGTCATTGAATCCGTGAGTCTGTGCGAGTCACTCGGTCAGTCAGTGAGTGGGACAGTCAGTACCAGGAAGTGTTTAATTTTTTTTGCAATGATACACTCCTCATCAAAAAGGTTTCAGTCGAAACCGCCCTATCAATTAAAAATTTTTCCCGGCATTTAATATTCAGAACGCTCAAACTGTATTCGAGTGTTTAACATCTGTTTGGAAAACATCAATTAAAATCCAATTTCGAGCAATAGCAATAAAGTAAAATGCGCGACGATTAATCCGCACTGACGTGCTCTTCCGAAGATATGTTTGACGTTTAATTGGTTTTGATGGGCAGAGGGAACAAAGACTGATAAGCTATTGGCAGAATGCCAGAAATTTCGTTTACGCTAATTGCTCTCCTGCATTCCGCGACACTAAATCATCTCTTTATTTTCGCTTCTCGCGAAAACCGAGCCCATTGACATCGCTTGTCCGAGCGAAATAGCACATTGTTAATCATGCTTATTGAATTTTAAACTGTTCCACTATCGCTCTTGGCAAAAATAATTGTCTCTCATCTACTAAAGTCTGTTTTTCCCTCAACCAACTGTCATTTCATATGCACGACAATCCTCAGAAGTCGAAACATGTGCGAGCTAAGGGTTGACGTGGTCTTACTTCCAAACGTCACTCAGATTGGACGATTCTCAATGAAAGTCCATGGTACGGCTATAGGGCTCGAATCAGCGTTCCACATAGCTGTTGATTGAATCAGTAGTTCGAATCACCCACGCCAACCTAACCGGCTACCNGGATACATGAAAGCGAAGCACTTCACAATTAGGAAAATTGGGATAAACTGCTTGCTAATTTCAACGGTCTAGATCTAGATCCTTTCGGTCGGTAGTTGAAGCTATTAATCAGAACTTTACAAAAACCACAATTCTACCACCAATACAAGTGGATGGATCAATTGCAACAATAGCCATAGAAAAAGCAAATTTACTAGCTGAACAATTTGCGTCCCACTTGGTGATAGACTTGTGATCACCTAGACCAGGGAAAAACATCAAGTCCACTGTCCACTCAGGAGGAGGCAGATCAAGTTTTTGGACAATTAGGGTCCCAGATGGTCTTGAGGAAGACCCTATGCATAGGGCT